ACTTGGCAAGGATCTTAAACTTTTAATGGCTGCGTATTTCCATGGGTCTCTGACACCAAGATCATGCCAGGGCCTAAAAGAAATCTAGCCCCCAGGAAGGCTGGTGCTGATGATTTAAAGGGCCAGGCTGTGCTTAATCTTCCTGCTGGGCTCCCTCATTTTAGAAAATGTTAAGATTTAAGAGCTCATAAAACTGAGCTATAACATGTCCTGCCAAGAACTCTGCATGGGGCTCTCTATCCTAGGCTGCCTCCACCAGGGTTTCAGCCTTTGTCCCAAGTCACTCTAGGACATGTTTGCAGTCAGTGAAAGCTGCTGGGCTCTTTGTATCCTCCAGGGGCCTATCAGGCTGTCATGTCCTTGCCAGAGCCAGAATGACACGACTATGGGCATTGTGACAGATGTGATTTGTACATCGTTCTGGGTTCTGGAACTGGCAGTAGAAATGTTGGGCATCAGGGTGCAGTTTGGTCACGAAACAAATGAGCAGTGAGGCATATCTGCACCCAGAGCATCTTCTTGTTGCCACAGCCAGGCACTGATACCCCGGCAGCCACTCTGGCTGCTGTCCCCAGTCCTCCTCCTGACCCATTTCTGTGGTGGTGCTCTTGTACTTGAAGCCCTTTCCTTCCAAAGACAAGAGCTCATGTCCCCAACATATACCTTTTCCAGCTGTGACTCTTATACCTGGCATAGAACAATCCTGTAGCAGACATCCAACCTGTATGTGTTGGATGGAAGGATGAGTTCTATGGAAGAATGGAAGATGGATTTTGTGTCTCTATTTGTTGCTGGATGCATGCATTTTTAAAGACCCTTGCATGAAGAGGAGGAGGACATTTTTCCTTGTCTCTTAAATCTAGGCTGCATTTGTCATTTGTTTCTGCTGATAGGATGCAGTGGAAGTGATAATGTACCCACTTTTAGCCAAGGCCTCATGGTGCCTCTTGGACTCCTTGCTTTTTCTTTTGGAAACTTGCTGAGCTGTCACATCAATAAGCAGGAGCTGGCTTAGTGGTGATGAGATATATATGACCCTGCCACTGCTTGTGCATGGGAGGGGCCTCCAGCTTCGACCTCATCTGCCCCGCTCAGATGTTATGCCTTGTGTGTAGAGCTTCCCCCAACCCATGCATTCATAGGTGGGCTTCTGCAGAGGTGGCTGACTCTAGAGTGTGTGATTGATTCATGGTGCAGTGCTAGGATTAACAACTCTGGGATTAGGGATGGCTGGTTACTAAATCAGTCCACTGATTGGATTTGCACTGTTCTAATCCTGGTGGCCTGGATATAATATAAGGGACATAAAGACGCTCCTTCCTTTCGCTGTCTTCTGCTTGCCGTGACCTGGTTCTCTTCCACATTGCCCGTCTGCCGTGTACCACCCTGCCTTGGAGCTGGAACTTGTGGGCTGAAGCCTCTGCAAACTGAACTAAATAAACCTTTCCCCCTTTAATTTGGGTGTTGGGTATTTTGTCTCAGCAATGAGAAAAGTAACTAAGACATTGGTCTAGGTCAGCCACTCCTGGGTTTGATCTGCCTCACTGAAATGTTTTATGACAGGTTGCTACTGTTACATTTGCTGCTTATAAACAATTTAGCTTTGGGGGAAGAGTTACCTACCGATTGCTAACTGACACAGTGTAGAAACCCCGGGTATGCTTCCACCCAGGATGGTCACTAACCTTTGTTTTTAGAGATCTCTTCCTTGTTCTTTTCTATTCTATGCCTTCATCTCCTGCCATACCCTAGCTAGAGGCTCCCTGCCTCGACTTTGGCCTTTTCTTCTAAGTCCATATCCAAGATATTGTGCAAACCTGTCTATTATGTTCAGTCAGCACTCATGGAGCACCTTCTGTTTAAAAGACATCAAACTATGGAGACAGAGAAAATGAACATGGCTTGCGTCTTTCATATGCTTAGTAACAATACCCACATTGACAATCGTTGATGTGTGCGTGGTACTTGATGATTCTTAAGGAGCATTTATGTGTATCCTACATTTGAACTTATGATTTAGGGGATGACATAGCAGTTCATGTCCATATTCAGCTATTACTGAATGTCTGCTGCACATAACGTACTGCGACAGATGCTGGTGCAAGAAGAAACAGGATCTCTGTAAAGAACTTCATTAATTGCTGCAGCGGTGGATTCCATTCCTTTTGAACCTGTCCCCTGCCTAGGCTACTCTGAGGGCCACAAGGGAAAATGCAAAGTTCCACCTTCAGTTTAAAAAATCAGTTTGCAAGTGTGGGTTGAGGGAGTCCAGCCTAACATGGGTCGCCAGAGTAAGAGATCTGAGGGAGGCTGCGGTTGTCAGAGCTGTCCAGCAGCCAGTGCCGGTTCAGGTTACAGAATGAACACTGCTATCATGTTCCGAGACAGGAGTGGCTGGGCCTTTGGAACATGTCCAGGCAAAGGCCTTCCCGGTCTGGCTTCATGTTCTCAGGACAGATAAACAGGCCAGAGAGTGGTCAGGAGGAAACACTGGGATGGAACAGAGGTGGGGAATGATCTGGATTGTTTAAGGAATGTAGGATGTGTAATCCAAGGTAGAGGAGCCAAAGAGAGATGGAAGGCTGCCTTCCGGTGTTTGAAAAGTCTGTTGAGAAGCAGGAATGAGCAGAGTGACAGTAGAGAAGCTGGAAAGAAATCGTGTTGGTTTAACTTAGTGATTTCTAGTGTCTGAGCCCCATAGCAGAGCCAGGTTTTTCCCTAGAAAGAGCCACAGGAGCCAGTGTTTAAGTCTTTATTATTCATCCTCCTATTTTGGGGACAAAATACCTGACATACACAACTTGAAGGAAGGAAGGTTTACTTTGGCTCACACTTTCAGAGGTTTCAGTGCGTGGTCAGCTGGGTCCAAGGCAGGAGTGGCACAGGGAGGAAGCCACTCAGCACGGCGCACCCAGGAAAGAGAAAGAGAAGAGCACGAGCCCAGGAAAAGACATGCCTTCAGAGCCACACTCTAGTGACCACTTCATCAAGCCAGGTCCACCTCCTAACAGCCCATTCCACAGTAATCGACTCATCAATGGATTAATCCATGGACGTTAGCATACTCAACACATGAGTCTTGGGGGTGCTTCATATTTAGACTGGGTAGGAGCAGGGACCAGTGGTGGCTTCTCAGGGTTCTTTTACCCCTGAGTTCCCAAGAGGACCTCCACAAGGTGGCCTCTGAACCCTCTTTCAGAAAGGCAGCTGAAGAGAAGGTTAGCTGTAAGAGCAGTTCCATCAGATGTTCGACGCTGCTGGCTGCTGAGAACGTTTAGATGGGGGCTGTGCCAGGAGGATGCAGGTTAGCCTTTCAACAAGGACCCAAGGCTTTATCTGTATAAAGGTCCATGGGTCTGTAGAAATGTAATTTATAATTCCACCCTGAAGAAGTAGGCCCCTCTCTTCACTATGAAAACTGACTTATCTTTCCCAATTAAAGAGTGCCAGGGTTTTGTCTTCATTACTTTCCTCATTGCCGGGAGATAATACCCAACATCCACAATTTTAAGGAGGAGAAGCTTAGTTTGATTCACATTTCAGAAGTGTCAGTCCTTGCACAGTCAGCCAGCTCCAAGGCAGGATGGCATGGCCGAGGAGAGCTGCTCGTTGCATGGGGCACAAGAAGCAGGGAGAGGGGAGGAGCTGAAGAGAGAGAAACCCTTCCAGGTCACACCCCTAGTGACCCAGCTCTTCCCATCAGACGCTACTTCTTAACAGCTATAAGGCCCCATAATCCAATTGTCTTCCAAAAACCCTGCCTTTGAGCACATGTGGCTCTTATGAGACATCTAGATATAAATTATAGTAAGTATGAAACCTCTGTGTTAACAGTGAGGCAGGCAGAACAGGGATGGAACTACAAGGGAGCACTAGCCCAGGGGTGGTCAGGACAGCAGGGCTGCAGCACAGGAACCCACAGACCAGGATAGAAGAGGACAGAGCTGCCCACAGCCGGCTTTGGCCAGCTGCTTTGGGACACTGGTGGTGTTGATGACAGTGATCATAGTGGACACATACTGAGTCCCTTACTATATGCTAGTGCCAGAGACTACATGTTACATATTAGCATCTCATTTTAATCTCACAACAATCCGGTGCTGTAGGTGTTCTTGCTATTTTTATTTTATAGAAGAATACTTAAAGCACAGAGAATGTAAATGGCTCATCCAAGGTCACATAGCCAGGAAGTAGCCAAGATTCCATCAGCACCTACATGGCTGGCACAGGCCTGCACCTTTAGCCTCTTCCCAGGCACATCTCCCTGTTTTTGCAGTGCCCACGAAGGACCATCTGTCTGTCTTTCAGTCATCTGCAGGCCCACGGAGATGATGGCATCGAGGAACATTTCAAAAGCACCAAGCGATCCCACAGCCTCAATATATTGATTCCTCCTCTGGAATGAGACAGGAGAGAAAGATGAGTTCTGCCTGGTGGCATAAATTAGCTCTGTGCCCTTGGGTTTTGTGTCACCGTGATGCCTCTTTGCCATTCAGGTGGCCAGCCTGCTTGCAGCAGTGCTGTTGTTCGGGAGCAGTTCACAACCGGCACATGGCAAATGCCAGGGCGACAGCTTCCACGCTGAGCCTAAACAAATGGTGGAACAGAGCAGAGGGCAATGCAATTTACAAGGAATCTTAGCAACCAGGCAATGGGCAATAAAGCAGAAAATCGCCGAGGAAACTCAGTGGAGCATGAGCTAAACGAATTGCAGGATTTGTGAACCAATTTACACCTATCAGAGGAGGGGTGAGAAAGGCACACGGTGGCTCCAAAACAATGGACAGAGAACTGTGCGGCTGTGACCTCCAGCAGACTTATCCAAGGGCAGCAAGGACACACTGCCCCTGCTGCACACAGCTAGACAATGGACTCTGGGTCGTCACTGAGTGGACTTTGGGCATTCCTTCTTGAGAGGGTCCAGCGCATGTCATCGCAGTGGAGGGATGGACGTCAGGTGTACGGTGAAGGTATGAAGACACTGACTCTTGGCTTTGCTCCCCGGGACTCAATGAATGATAAACAAGCATTGTGAAGCAGAGCTGGGATCCACCTTGGCTTCCATCCCCAGCAGCAAATCTCATAAGAAGTGAGCACCATCGTCCACAAGGAGGGCTTCACAGAAGGTGGGAAGATGTTCATGGGAGTGTGGAAAATCAGCGAGATGAGGGCGTCTTCTCTGCTGGGTGACATTGGCACATGCCTAGTCAGAAACATAATCCCCTCCTGGGAGACTCTGGGAGGAACAAATTCACTTCTCCCTAGGTCCTGTGGATGGAGAAACCCAGAAGAGGACAGGTTCTCGCGACATAGACATCTACCTGGGTAAGCAAAAGCTCCACAAAGGCATACAAAGGTGAATTGTCACTTTCAATCCCACAGCATTCAGAATGATGTCTGGTTCAAAGTAGTCCCTCACAGTCATGTCTCACTTGAGTGAATAGCACCCTAATAGTTATACGCCTGGGAGGAACATACAGTGCTATAGAAACATTTTAATAAGGGCCCTGTGCTAGGCAGCTTTCTATCACTACCTGTGAGAGTCTATAAAGAGAAAGGGTTTATTTTGGTTCCCAGTTTAAAAGGTTTCAGCCTATGAGCAGGTGGACCATTGGTGGGGGTGCCAGATGGCAGTGGCAGGAGCATGTGACAACACACTGCTTGCCTCAAGCTATGAAGTAAAAAAGGAAAAGGCTGAGGTTCTTCTGTCCCCTGTGAAGATCACTGTCAGTGACCTAAGGACCTCCCACTAGCCCCTGCTTCTAAATCTTCTCCTATCTTCCAGTTGTTCAACTGGGAACCAAACCTTAACTCCTTGGCATTTGGAGAACATTTAGCCCCAAACTATAGCAGGGAACAATGTGCTGCCCCATGAGTACACCTCTTGCTCTTACTTCTAGAAGGCAGGAGTGAGACATCCTATTGTAAAGAAATGGACTTCATTTCCCCACCTATACAATGAGGGCGTTGGAACAAAAGTTCCTTACGGCCACATCCAGCTCTGCCTTACTGTGCTTCAGTGATTTTCAGCAGTCTCAGGGAGCTCAGGCTGTACCCTAGAGAGAAGCAGCATAGTCTAGATCTCCCACACAAAGATCCTCCCAGAAACGTCTGGAAAACTGGCCTGATTATTCATTGCCCTTTTTTCTCCATGTTCTCCTGCTCTATCAGTGACAGAATGGCTCCCTAAGGCTTCACTACTGCTCAGCATGATACAGACAGGGCCCTGAAAGATCCTGCCACAGTTTCTGTCTAAGAAGCCACCTCTACTGAGGGGTTCAGAGGAGAAGGAACAATGGCAAAGATGGCTGCTGCTTGGAGTCCAGGACCTAACCTTCTGAGCCTATGTGTAGGGATGAAGAGAGTCCAACCATGACTAGAACCACACTGTCTACCAAACAGAGTGATCCTATGATGAGCTGAAGTAAATGATGGCACTGTATACACCCCAGCACTGGATGCAGTTGGGGTCCGTTTCTCCTCTGTGAGGCTGTGAGACTTTGGAAAAATCTTGTAAGTGTAGCAGATATCGATCTTGCAGATACAGCAAAGATAATAACAATACCTGCCACACAAGTCTTGGCAGTGCCTCATACCACATGTAGGCACTTAGTGCAGGGCCTAGCAGGTTGTTAGCATTCAGCCTAATGAGATTCAAGCTGCAGGCCCTGCACTCTACCCTGAGCTAAGGTCACTGGGATTGTAAAAGAAGTCACTTACTGTAATGGTTTTTGTCTAGGTGTCCCCCCAGAGCCCATGCAGTCATTGGGGTGGCTTGAAGAGTTGGTGATTGATTCATGGTCCAATGTTGGGATTATGGGTGTGAGTGCTACACCCACCCTGGGGCAGATAATCTGCATACAAATGTAAGGAGGGGAGAGAGGCTTGCTGGCTGCCTCAGCTGCTGCTCCTCCCTTTGCTCCTTTGCTGTTTTCTGCCACCATGAACTGCTGCCCTCTGCCATGTACCACTTTGCCTTAGAGCCAGCCAAGTGTGGACTAAAACCTCCAATCCCTGTGAAGTAAGTAAACCTTTCCATTCTTGATTCTGGGTGTTGGGTGTTTTATCCCAGGAATGAGACAAAAGTAACTAAGGCTCTTACTTTGCAGGTGACCTGGGAGTAAGCTGAATCGTCTGAAGAATCAAGGACAAACACAGAGAGACAAGGATTAGAACCTGAACTTCAAGGATGGCTGTTACAGAGTGTATCAATCAGCTTCTGCTGCATAAGAAATCCCTACAACACCTCACACAACCTCAATGTTTGCTTCATTCATGAATCTGTTGAGTCTTCATGGGACATTCAGCTTTGGCTGGCACCAGGCTAAAGGAATGGAAAGTCCCTTGGAGAAACTGTGCTCATGGCTTTGGAAGAAATATAAGGCAGCTGAGCAAGTGGAAGATCATGAGTCCGTTTTAGGCATAGGCTTGTGCCTAGTAAATTGTCACTTCTGTCCCATTCTATTGACCAAAGCAAGTCATGGAGCCAAGCTTCAAGTCAAGGAATTGAGAGGTCAGGAGAGGTGAAGAATTGTGGCCTTTGATTGGATCTATTACTTAATGAGTGGGCTCTAGTGGGTGAGGGTGGTAATAGAGGCAGAGATATCCCCATGCAGACATACATAAAAGTGGGGAAGCATACTTGTTGCACCCAGTAAGGGGGTCTTTAAAGCAGGGGTGGCTAGGAGTCTCCTGTAACAACCCTCTGCATCTCTTTGGGTCCTTGCTCTCACTCAAGCAAAGAATGGAGAAGTGGGGCTCTTAGCAAAAAAAGAAAAAATGACTAAATGATACCAATATAAGACAACTCATCCCTAAGAAAGCTCCTTCCCTCCCTGTTATGCTTAATGTCCCCAAGTGCATCTTATAATGGCTCTTTGGGTGCAGTTGCCTGGAAACAGCAGGAGAGAATCTAGGGTTAATTAAATCAATTAGTAATTAGTAAGGCAGGCATGACTCTAAAAGTGGTGACCTGGAGGTCAAAATGATTGTTTATTTATTTATGATTGGAATTCCTATTAACTTCCAAACAGATTAGAGATGATTGACAATTAAAAATATAGGCTGTAGGACAGTGAGATTAAGGATAAAATATCCAAAGTTATATGGATGAAGAGAGGAAATGATTAAACCAGAAACATAGCAGAAGATAGTTACTGCAATTGCGCATTAAATTGAGCTAAAGCGAAAAGCAAAATGTGATGAGTTATTGGATGAAAGAAAGTATAGCCATTTGTCAGGAGAGCCAAACTTTTCTCTGGCCTTCCGTGTGAGTTCAAATTTATCATAAGAATCTCAATAAAAGGGACAGAGAGGCACATAATAGACATTCTCTTCAAAGATTTTGCAGAAGATTGCAGAAATATTCTTTAGTCGTTTATTATATTAACCCAGAGTAAGAGCTGAAAACTTAGGGATGAACCCACTAGGTTTAATGTAGCCCCAGCTAATGGCTTAAGATTACTACAGCGGAGGCACTATTAGGAGCAGTTAGCAGCCCAGCGCTGGAGCCGGTGGTCACAGCCGTAGGAGGGTGCGTGGCTTTCCATGACCAGAGTTCCCTTGGTCCACGTACGCCTGGAAGCGTGAGAGTCAAGAGAGGCAGTGTCCTGACTGGGTGACAGGGGGGAAAGCCTTCCACGCAGGATGAAGTGCGAAGAAGCAGATTGAGAAGTGGAACAAGAGCGTATCTTCTCATTTACATGAATTCAGCGTACATTTGGGAAAACTCTATGATTTTGTCTTTTCTTTTTTTTTGTTGCTTTTATTTTTTCTTTTCAAATCTAGATTGAGCTGGTGAAATTTTATAAATGCAAAAAATGAGAACAATTTTTGAATGTAAATTGTCTTCTTTGAGAACTTTAGTTGTAGACAGCAACCACAGCAACAGTCTGTGCTTTTTGTTTTCGTTTAGGTGCTACAGATTGAACCCAGAGGGCACGGAACTATATCACCAGATCTCTAAAGCTGCTCTTGATTTTTATTTTGAGATAGAGTTTTGCTAAATTGCCCAAGTTGGCCTTGAACTTGCAAGCCTCATGCCTCATCCTCCAAAGTAGCTAGTATTTCCAGGGCCTGGCAGTGAGAATCTGTTTTCTTGATGCTTTCTAAGCAGATGGGAATAAGACTTTCAGTAATATTCATTCTTATTTCAACTTTCTCATAGCTTCTAAACTTAATCCTATCTTTTAGAATTGTGTAAGTGAATTGCACACCATTAATTTCATAGTGAGATAAAGAAGTTAATGACAGAACATGGCAGGTATAATCCAGTGACTATAAGGCTGTATTACTTCATTGACAAAACTTCTCTGGCAATGAAAGTGGTGATTTTAAGTGAAAGCATTAAAAGTGTGCATGTTTTCACTATATTAGTTTTACATATGAGAACGTGTCCTAGAGAAACAATCATGGGTACAGGTAAAGATGGAGTCATAAAACATTCATTACAGCACTATGTGGTATAATGTGGGGACAACCTGCATAGTCACCATTGGTGATTTAGTTAAATAAACTGTGGTCCAATGGACAATACATCCATCCAAAAAGATGGTGTGTAAGGCTTCTTAGTACAAGAGGCCATGCTTCATAATGCTTTCTTAAATGAAAAGTACAGGATGAAAAAGTTCATGCACAAGTTGTTCTATTTGGAAAAAGAATATATATGTCAGTAGGCTTGTAGTTGATTTTCTCTTTGTCCCTTGTTCCTATTTTTGGCTTGTCTGTATGTACTAAAATTTCTATTATGACTCCTGTTATGACTTTCTTTGCTAACAAAAAAAAAAAAAAAAAAATGAAAGAAAAGCTTTGTCCCCCACAGCAGCGTGTGCTATCTCACAGTCTGTCTTCTGAAAGAAAACCCCTAGTATTAGGGTGTCTCTCGGGAGCATGGCAGCAACAGGCTTGCTCAGTTGGAGCTGGTAGAGTTAGTGACCTTTAAGCCATTCATCTCCACTGTCTTTTGCTTTCTGTTCCTCCTTGGGTTTGAAGCAATTTGTGTGGGAGCCGGAAGCTCCAGAGATCCATTCTTTTCCCCTTCTCTGTGCTGTCAACAGGACGATAGTGAAGGATTAGCTGTTGGATGATGGTGGGGCTTGGTCCGAAGTGGTGGCTTCCGAGTGATGCACCTACCAGATGTGAAAATTATGGGAGGCAAGAGCACGAGCGATGCTGGCCTGACTTCCTCCTGGCTTGTAAGAGATGATGCATTTCTCTCTGGATAAGCCGACTTCCACAAAGAAGGGCCCAGAGCAGTGCCCTCTTGTCCGATGTGTGCGCTCCCTGGGATTTATTTGGCTCTTTGCTATTAAGTTCAACCCCCAGAAAATTAATCTCAGTCCAATTTCTTACTGTGTTGCTCCTCTTTGCAGACAGGTTAAGACAGAAACATTTTTTCTCTTGTTTTCTCTGGCTTATAAGCTACAGGAAGCAAAAGGCCATGTCCAGAAGAGAGAAGAACAGATTTGGGCATGTCATGGGTATGGCCTGGACTTTGTACTGTGACATGAAAGGATGCCTTGTTCATAAAGATGGGAGAAAAAAAGCCAGCTGGAGGCAAGAAATGACAGACTGCCGGAGTTTGGGGCCTGGAAAGGCCCAAGTGAAGCCGATGAGGTGCCTCACTGTTAGGATGGATCTTACAGCATCATCCAGAGATGTGGGTGGAACTTGAGGCTTCTCCATGTGTTTGACAGAAAGTAATATATGTTGAGGTTCTTCAACTGCCGGGTGCTTAGCGCATGAGGTCTCACTAAGCCCCGTACAAACACACACAGGAAGTAGCTCACCACTGCCTACAGCCTATATCTCAGGAGACCAGCCAGCCAGAGCCCAGGCCTGGCATGTGTGTAAAACCTTCTGTGCACCCTCTGGAGCCCTCCAGCCCCAGTCCAGGCTCAGCATGTGCATAAGACCTTCCATGCACTCTCCAGACCCCACAAGCCCCAGCCCCAGCTGGGCATGTGTGAGACCTTCCTCGCTCCCTCGCCAGATCCCTTTCCAGCCAGAGCCCAGGCCTGGTGAGCTGCAGCAGGAAGAAGCTGAGCACAGCAGCCAGACCCAAGCCAGGCACATCTGGAGGAGTTCGAACTTGGTAGATCTGGACCCAGTAAGCTGAGATACTTGCTAGACCCAGATCTATGAGAGCATCCTCTCTCTTTCTCTTTTGATCTAGAGAGGGTGCAACAGGTAACCAGGGTGAACTAGTCTGCCTGGAAGACCCCAGCTACATCAAGGGGAGGTGATCAGATGGAATTTAGGGGCACTAACTTAAATACAAATTCCCAATCTCAAGAGACCAAAGATTAGAAAGGATGAATAATTTGTCCAAAGACACACACTAGAAAGTGAAGGAGACTGAATTTGAACACAAGATGGTCTGATTTCCAAAAGTGATCCCTCTGTGTTCCACCATACTGATCTTCTTTACTATCTGTTTATTATCAATAAATTATTCAAATATTAGGACAACTCTTTTATCTTGACACTAAACAGTTTGCCAGAAACACTTAATTTTAAAATTTTAGGGGTCAGGGAGATAGCTTGGTGGTCTAAGTGCCTGCCTGGCAAGTGCAAGGACCCTGGTTTGATCCCCAGTACCGCATACCTTGCTGGCCCTGGAATCCCGGATGCGCCTAGCCCGCCACTGAAACCAGGGACAGTGGCACATGCCTGTCATCCCAGCACCGGGGAGGCTGAGACAGGAGGATCACTATGAGTCTGGCCTGCATAGTGAGACCCTGTACCAAGTAAATACATAAATAAAAGATTCTAAAAAATTAAAAATAAATAAATTAATCAAATTTAAAAAATAAATCAATTAAATTTTAAATGCTTTTTATGTTAGCATTACTACTTGTTTGCTTTTGATTATAAGGAAAGGGTTACTTCTGAGTATCTTACCAAAGCAGAACCAACTTCTCATTTGTTCTTGCTAGAGTTGTAAAATTTATTTTATTTGGCTCTGGTGTTCTGCAGAGGTTAGCAGAAGAGGGGACGCACTTGGCTACTGAAGTGGATGATGGAAGGGACTTCTAGAAACATGCTGCGGTAGGGAAGAAGAGCACCCTCCAGGGCAGCAGTTTGGGGTGTGGGTAACAATTTCAGGAAGTAGTTTGTTTTTTTTAAAGAATGAACTTTAATAATTTATTTTGAAGTACTTGCAAACTTACAGGAATGTTGCAAGAAGATTTCAAGGAACTCCCATTACTCCTTTACCCACAATCCCCGAAGGTCAACACTTTGCTTCCCTCATTACCTTCTTTCTCTCTACATCTGTCGTTATCATCTTTCCTTTTCTCAAGCTTGAGATCGAGCTGTAGGCCTCATAGTCCCACCCCTAAATACTTCAGTGTGTACATCTCTAAATCAGGGACATTCCTCTACATAACAACCACAGATCCTCCAAATCAGCAACGACACACGTACAGCATGACCATCCAATTTGCAGCCCTTACTCCAAGCTGTCCACTTCTCCCTCAATCTTTCTTTGTTTTCAAGATGCAGTCCAGCGTTACAGGTGGCCCTTCACTGTCGTGTTTACCTATCCATTTTAGTATGCAAGAGCTCCCACTCTTTCTCTACCCTTCTTGACTTCACCAGGTTGCAAGGAGGACAGGTCTCTTGTTGGGTTTGTCCAGTGTTTCCTCAGGCCGTGCGTTTTGACGGGAAAACAACAGAACTGAGGCTGGGCCCTTCTCAGCGTGTCTCATCAGGGCCAGGCAGACTTGACCTTCCAGCTCCTAGCAGCGTGAACCTTGATCATCTGTCTGGTC